CTGATGTTGGTTCATGCTGGGCCCGTGATTGATTCATTTTGTTCTGTTCAAGGAAGCTGGCAGTAAGGCTGTGTGCTTGCTGCTCCCCGAGGCTGAGCTGGTTATGCGGCAGGCAGGTGGAGATGCTCAGTTCCACAGCCTATGCTGCCCTGACTTCCCTGAGCACAAGGAGCTGTGTGGTCCCCATCTCAGGGTGCCCATAGCACTTCCCAGGACCTCTCATCATGGCATGCAGTTCTTTAGGGAAAGGCTGCCATTATTTTTCTTTTTTTTTAGTAATAGTTACTCTCAGAAAGTTACTGGCTAAATTTTAAGAACTCTTTATATATAGAACTTAGAGAAGAAGAGAGAACAACACAAATATTTAGAACTCAACAGTGATCCAAACACACCGCTCCTTCTGTTTGAGGTAGAGTTTGATGACTTTTCATCTCCAAAGTGGGTTTGGGGAGAGAGACTTCAGAGCTGCATGGAAGCAATTTATAGGCTCTAGATAAAAGCTATGAATTCATACAATTGAAAATTAGCCCAGCTGCCGTGCCATTCGCATTGGTTAAGTAATCACAGCTGTGTGTCCCATGTTGTAATTGTTAGTGCCTTCGAGTGGGTTCCAGCTCATAGTGACCCTGAATAGCGTTTCCAAGGAGTGGTCGGTGGATTTGAAATGCCAACCTTGTGGTTAGCAGTCCAGTGCAAATCCTAGATCAACACCAGGACTCCACATCCCATGTATTTATCATAATGGGCCAACATTACAAAATAAGGGCAATTACTTTGTAGCGTGAAACTGTAGTTGTTGGCTATCAAACTAATTCCAACTCATCACAACTCTTTAGGACAGTGGAGAATGGCCCTGCAAGTTTCCTGTTGTTGTTAAGTGCCATGGAGTTGGTTCCGACTCATAGTGACCCTGTACAGGGTGTCCGAGGCTGTAAATCTTTACGGGAGCAGAACGCCTCATCTTTCTCCCACGGAATCGCTGGTAGTTTCAAACTGCTGACCTTGAAGTTTACAACCACTATGCTACCAGAGCTCCTGAATGGCCCTGCAAGTTTCCTAGGCTGTATGTAATCTTTAAGGGAGCAGATCACCATCCTTGTCTACCACAGAGCGAGCAGTCGTGGGTTCAAAGCACTGATCTTTCGGCTGGCAGCTGAGAACTTAGCCAGTGCACTGCCAGGGTTCCTTAGGGTAAAACTCCTATTAAATGCCATCGAGGCAGAAGCGGCTCATAGTGACCCCATACTGGGTTTCCAAGGAGTGGCTGATGAGTTTGAACCACCGACCTTGCCGTCGAGTGCTTATCCTACAGCACCACACATACTACTTCAAGTGCCCTGACCGTGAGATCCTGTGGGAAAGCTATCTTTGTACCTCAACCTCCTTACGTGTAAAGTTATCAGTCTTAGAAGAAATACACTCAGAATGCTCCTTGGAAGGAAGGATGGTGAGACTTGGTCTTGGTTTGCTTTGGACACATCACCACAAACAGCCTGTAATAAGTGTATATTTTATTAGAAGAAAAATAAACTATTTTTATCGTTCCTTTGTCCTTGTTTTCTTGGTGTTTTTTTTTTTGCAGAAGTTCTCTTGTACATTTGATTTTGTACCCTGTTTTCGTTCTGCACGTTACTCTACAATCCTTTCTCATTTGGGCTGTGTTTGGTGATAGTAATTCTCAGTGGTTGCTCACTCTTCCAGGGATGGGGATGCCATCAGTAGTAGACACTTCCCTGTTGGACATTTTGCTTGCTTCCGGTGATAGGTAATGTATTCCCTTACCAAACCAGTTCTGACTCTCGGCAACCTCACATACTGCAGAGTAGACCTACTCCCTAGAGTCTCATTGGCTGTAGTATTTACAGTAGCATATTGCTGGGTCTTTCTTCTGCAGTGCCACCGGATGAGTTCAAACTGCCAACCTTTAGGTTAGTAATCCAGCACAAACCATTTGCTCTCCCAGGAACCTGCTGGATTCCCTTACTAGCTGGGAGGCAAAATAGCATCTGCCTGAGAGGGGAGCTGTGTGGGTCAGATGGAGTGATAGATGGAGCCAGAGCTTGGCACTAACCAAGGGTCAGTAAACAGGACCCTTTAAGCCCTAGATTGGTGTCTTTCTTTAGACTTGCTCCAGGATGGTGTTTCTTGAAGGATTTTAGCAGTTTGTGATGTCACCAGGAATATGTGAAAGAACCAATTTCTTTGCTCTCAGATCTTAACTTTGTAGCTGTTTTTCCCTTTAAAGTCATAGTGAAAAAACAAGTTCCTCTGTATTTGGGCAGCTTGTTAGGACTGAGCTCACTTTTTTACTCTCTCCTCAACAATCAGGCCTCATCTACCCAATGCATAGGGCTCCAAAGGCTGTGTGTAGGTCATGTCTCTTACATCCACATTCCTAGATGCTCTTCCACCAGATTGGAATGTGAGTTGGTCTTCTGAGATTTTAAAAACCAACCTATTTTACTTCTACTGAGCTGCATACAATTGAACATCTTTTTTTTCCCCCCTTAAAGTAAGCCAACAGTTTGCTCTAGGAAAATCTGTTTTTGACAAGTAATAAACTGCATGATTCCTTCTTCTTCCACAGGAAAAAAGTTAGCAAGGCCAACCATACTCCTGGTTTGCCCAATTATTCTTGTTGTCCTGGTACAATTATTCACAACTACCCCTCACACTCAGAAGTGACCTAATTTGTGATGGGAAAATCACATTGATTAAGGGCAGAGTTGCAGATAGTCATTTTTGTCATTGCTGTCACTAAGTTGTATACCTGCAAAAAGCTGAGTTGCCAAAAGTTGGGTGGTAGCTATATTTACAACACCAACAGAAACGTAGGGCCCGAGGCTACTTATGTACAACCAAACACCTCATGGGATTTGGTTCCTTTGTTAGGAGGCATGGTTTCATGGGACATCCCAGTTAACTGGACTAAAAACATGTTGAATGCTGCTGTTGTACCTCCTAGTTAGTTCCTTGCGCATTGCCTGGGATCTTAAAAGCTTGCCGACAGCCATCCAAGGCACAGCAGTTGGTGTCTGCTCCTCACCTGGAGCAACAGAAAAGGAAGGAGAACCGAAGAGAAGAAGAAGAGATGGATGTTTGGCTAACTACGTCCATGAACAACTGCCCTATTACCACTTCTGAACATTTTGATCAAAGACCCTGCATAGAAGAATCCTGATCAAAAGAGGAAAATACAAAAGAGAATTTCAAATGCTCTTAGACTCCAGACTTTCTAGAGCCATGTAGGCTGCATGAACCCCTGAAACTACTAACCTGCGATCATTTTTAAGCCTTAAACCAAAAATATTACCTGAATTCTTCTTAAAACCAAATAGTTTGGCTTAATTAGCAAAAGGTCTGTATCGAGCCTTTTGCTCTTTTAAGAATTTCGCACAAAAGATCAAGGTGATACTAGCAACTCAGACGTTTGGACAGGAACCTGAGGGGGCAGTGGGCTTATGTTAATTGGGGAGGACCGGCTCACAGGAGGAGGGTGAGAATTTTCGCACAGCTCAGTGTCACTGGATTGTAAATTTAGGAACGGTTGAATTGGTGTGTGTTTTGCTATGTATTGTCAACACAGGAGTGCAGTGGCTCCATGGGATAAGTACTGGACTACAAACCACAAAGTCAGTGGTTCAAGCCCACCAGCCAGCTCCTCCTTAGGAGAAAGATGTAAAACCTTGGAAACCCTGTCTAGGGTCACTAAGAGTCTAAACTGATTCCATGGCATTTAACAACAGCAATTCGCAACAACAATGAAGTATCTATTTTTTCAAAGTGACCTAGTTTGATAAATGACATTGTTGCCTAGTTGCAAGGATTCCCTAGCAGCTGAGGTGTCTACCTGCACTTTCCACCTGCAGGCTGTGTCTCTTTGTTGCCATCCACAGTCCAACAGTGCCTAAGCCATATTCCATTCACTGAGCTTGACCTGGAGTTTCCCAGTAGGCACGCACTCACATTTTCCCTTTTTCTTACTCGTCTTTCCCTGACATCTTGGTGCCGTTTCTCAGTGGCACAGGTAGACACTTTTCACTTGTTTTAAAAGTTGCTCGTTGTCCTTCAAATAGGAATTACATATGTATTATATACACATGTATATACACATATATGTATAAAATACACATATATGTGCATATGTGGAGTCCTAGTATGGTATTATGATAAGCCCTTGGTTGTTAACCATGAGTTTGGCACTTCAAATCCACCAGCCGGTACTTGCAGATGACATCAAAGCCACCATGCTCCCATGTGTTTGTTGTTAAGTGTCATCGAGTTGGGTCTGACTCATAGCGAGCCTGTATCGGGTTTCCGAGGAACAGATGGTGGGTTTGAACTGCCAACCTTGTGGTTCGCAGTCCAATGCTGCTTCCACAGCGGTCTCACCAGGAATCCATATATGTATGTGTCTTTGTGTCTCAGTACATTCCATAAGCGAATATGACATTCTTCATTTCTCAACACACAATTTGTCAAGTTAAATATCTGCTTTCAGTTTCTTCTTGAAAGTAAACCTCTTCTTGCTAGGGCTTTTAGCTCTTCTGCTCCTGCCAGTATCAAACGCAGTAAGCTTAATAATATTCATAAAGCACCTGAAAATCTCATGCAGACACAGCAAGCAGGCCAAAGGTAAGTGGGCAATAGCACGGACTAGTGGCGGTGCACAACTGCCATCCCTGTGATCTGCAGAGTTTGGCTCCTACCGTGAAAGCTTACGAGCACGGCAGTGTCTGTGTTGTCCAAGAAACCAAAACAAGGAAATAAAAGCCTAGCTTCTCGATGGTAGTGGGGTTTTAACTATCTTGACCGAAGCTGTGTCATATCCTCTCTTCCCCCAACAAGTCCCTGTGTTCCTGGGATCCTGTGTGCGCAGCTCTGAGGAAAAGGAAATGTTTGGGGGAGGGAATCCTGCCAGGCGAACCAGTGCAGAGTCCACGTGGGGGCTACGTGTGGATTCTCAATGGAGGATGTGTTTTTCTGTTTGTTTTAACTAGGCGACTTTCGGATGGTGGTTGGAGAGGATAAGTCAAAAGTGTTGAATATTGTGAAACCCAACCTAGTTCACTTTCGTGGGCTGTATGGCAGCATACTGCAGGAGAACCCCCAAGTGGTGTATAAAGCTCATCAAGGCAGACTCGAGGTAAACTGAACGCGGCAAAGAGCGTACTGTGTTTGTAAGGAAAGTAGTCAAGGGCAGAAGAGCGGGAGGAGTGTGATGGCATTGAGACAAGGACTCCAGTTCATACATGCACAGCGAGCTTCCAGACTGACCGTGTTTAAGCATGTCTCTGTGATCAGTGGGTGTTGCCAACAGGTTCTCAGTGACACACTTGTCTTAGTCTCATTGGTGCCTTCAGAAAAAGGACCAGTCAGAATCCTAGGAGATCTGTAGGGCCAGTTAAATTCAAGGCAGAGAGGTCAGCTCCAAGGGTTACGGTGACTGTTTGGGGAGGATTCCAAAAGAATCATCTTGATACATGTACTTAAAGGCTATATATAGGACAACTATGGGGCTTATTAGGAAGAAGTTTTTAAGAAAACCGAAAACTGCACTGGTGAGAAAAAGGCCAGGAAAGTTGTGCTGAGGAACGTTTTTCTTCACGACAGTACACCTGCTCATTCATCAAGGGCTGTCCTACAAGAATTTCGTTGGAAAACCTACCCCTTCTACCCCACCCCTGATCTTGCCCCTTTAGGCTGCTTTTTGTTCTCCAAACTCGAACATTTTAATGGAACACAATTTGAGTCCCTCTAGGATGCTAAAACTGCCATGCTGGTGTGCTGTAAATCCAAGAGCACAGAATTCTTCTAGAAAGGGTTGGAAAGGTATAAACACTGTCTTCACAAGTAGGTAATCTAGAGGGAGGATATGCTGAAAAACAATAGCTTCACATTTTGGTATTGTTGTTTAACGAAGGTTTCTATGATTTTGTAATGATATTTTTTATACTTCCCTTGTATGTGTATTAAAAGTGAGTACTGTCTGTAAGTACATGCGCCTGTACCCTTAGAATACTGCTAAAAGGTAGCACAAGAAGCTGGTAATGGAGGCTGCCTTGTGGAAGGGAACTTGGGGCAGAAGTAGGGTGACTTGCGTTCACCAGTGAAAATAAACCCTCAGGTTGCTTTTTTTCCATCCCTTGCTATTTTATTGGACAACCCCAGATGTCAGTATCTCCAGCATGTGCTGCTTTCTTAGTGGTCAGAGGTGAGAGGGGCGCTAATTTGCTTGCTTTGTATGCGTGTCTCAGCTTGCTTCAGACTGCTAGACCCTCAAAATCTTTGCTGATGTGGTGACTTCATGGGACTTACCGCTTACCCACTGGAGTACATATGTCTCATCAAAGCCTTCAGTTTCCTTTCTGCACCAGATGACAGTAATAATATATCATTAACACAGTTGGCCTATGTAATAGACACAGAATGTCCAGTCGTCCGGTTTCCTCTGAATGCCTTATAACAGTGACTGAGATGGTTATCAGGGATGCAAGCATAGTCTTGGGGCAAGACCATCAGATCTGTTGCCCCGTATGAATGTGAGCGGGTCCTCCTTCTGACAAGGATGGAAAGGATGCCTGGTCTGGGGCCCCATCCATACACCTGCTCTAGCATATTCATCATACCTGGCACAGCAGATGTAGTTGGAGCTACTGTTTTTTGAATTGTGGTTGTTGTTAAGTACCATCCAGTTGGTGCCAACTCATAGCGACCCTGTATGGGGTTTCCAAGGAGGGGCTGGTGGGTTTGAACTACCAACCTTGTGATTCAAGCTGACCTTGAAGTCGTGTTTTATCCTACAGATCAGTGGTCCGCTCTGATGTGCCAGGATCTCTTCAGTGTTTGTAAGGACTAGACTGGTGAGTTCAGTGGAGATAAGACTAGACCATCCTCCTTCATCCTTTAGGTCTGTGTTGTCGCTGTTTAATGCCGTTGTTGGTTCTGACTCATAAGGACCCTGTGTAGGATTTCCAAGGAGTAGCTGGTGAATTTGAACCACCAAGCTTGTAGTCCAGTGCTTACCCTACAGCAGCACACCAGGACTCTCTGTAGGCCATCCCAGTCTCTGCCATCTCTCCCAGAGCACAGCTTTATTTTGTATTTACTTCTGACCGGAGGGCAAGAATAGAAGCTTCAGAGGGCTTTGCTTGGTCTCACACATTGTCACAGGTCCCCAGTCCCATTCTAGAGTCGGCTTTCTAGGACCACATGCCAGCAATTATGTTAGATTGGGATTGGATTTGGAAAGATTTAAAACAAAGGCCTCACCTGATCCTGTGATGGCACTCAGGTTGTCCCCACATGGGACAAAGAGGCCAGCCTGCTAACTTTGAACAACTGACCTTGCAGTTCAAACTGACCTTGAGATCAAGTGCTTATCTTAGGTGCCACACCAGGACACACACTGATTCACACACTCTCTCTCCCTATGTGTATGTATATGTGTATATATATATATATAGAGAGAGAGACAGTGAGAGAGACTGGTGTGGCATTGTGGGTTAATGCACTGAACTGTAAAATTGGTTTGAACCACAAGGTCAGCGGTTCAAGCTCACCAGTTGCTCCTTGGAAACCCTATAGAGGGTCGCTATGAGTTGAAAGCAACTCGACGGCACTTAACAACAACACATATGTATATGGAGCTCTGGTAGCGTAGTGAACCACAAGGTCAGCAGTTCGAAGCTACCAGCTGTTCCGCGGGAGAAAGATGAGACTTTCCGCTCCCGTAAAGATTTACAGCCTCATAAACCCCATACAGGGTCTCTATGAGTCGGAACCGACTCCACAGCACTTAACAACAACAACATATTATATATGACTATAGGAGCTCTGGTAGCATAATGGTTATAAATCGGGCTGCCAACCTCAGGGTCAGCAGTTCGAAACTACCAGCTGTTCTGCGGAAGAAAGGTGAGGCTTTCTGCTCCCGTAAAGATTTATAGCCTCGGAAACCCTGTACAGGGTCACTATGAATCGGAATTGACTCCACAGGACATAACCACCACCGTATAACTATAATAAAGAAATTAGGAGATAAAAGAGCTGCATAGAAAATTTCAAAGGTCAACTCAAAAAGGTAAAGTTAGAATATCAAAAGGGAAGAACATGCTCAGTGTTTCTCAAGCTGAGGGAACTGAAAAAGAAAAAAAAAAAAATTCAAGCCTTGATTTGAAATATTGAAGGATTCTCTGGGCAAATTATTGAAAGATGAAGAAAGCATCAAAGAAGATGGAAGGAATACAGAGAGTCACCATACCAAAAAGAAATGGTTGATGTTCAACTATTTCAAGAGGTAGCATATGATCAAGAGTCAGTGGTACTGAAGGAAGAAGTCCAAGGTGCATTGAAGGAATTGGCTAACAACAAGGCACCAGGAATTGATGGAATACAAATTGAAATCTTTCAACAAACCGATGAAAAACCATGGTAGAATAAGTGAATTCTGATTATGAGGAAGTTGGTCATATCAGGAAAACCCGACTTGAAAATGTAATGCATTCATTTGCCTAATGTTTTCCTATAACTCAGTTGGAGTGAAAATCTAAACATTCATTAAAAGAATAGAAGACACAGTCTGACTTGGAGATAACGTGATGAGCGATTGAGGGCAGCATTAGGGCTCTCAACTTAGCATGCAGTCCATGTTTATGTATGAAAGTTAACTAGATGGGGAGTTAGGAAAATTGGGATCTGGCCTTAGCTCTGTGGTTAACTTTTCATTCAAAGGTTTCCAAGTGAAGCGTAATCCTTATTTTTATATATGTTTTATTTCTGAATTTTTCTTTTACCTTGATATATTTTAGAATACTTTGAAAACAGACATCACTGTTGCAGTTTACGCCTGGTTAAGAAATAATGACAACTCCCTTATTCAGACATTCTCGAGTACCTCCTTCGACTAGGGGACTGAAAAGTGAATAAGGTTAGCCTTTGTCATCAGTTGTAGCATACAGTATTTGAAGGCCCCCAAAGGCAGGAGACACAAATTCCAGTGCCACTCCTTCTCTGATAATGATCCTGGGCAGGTCACAGTTTCCCCATTTAAAATGGGAGGGATAAATCTAGGGTCTGGATTTGATGGGGCCTCAGTGCATGTTCACTGCAGCTCTCCTTCCTTTAACTGCTGCTTTTAAGAGCAATGGAGATTTTCAGTGTCTAAAACTGATCCTTGAAAGAGGCTACTTTTCTTGTGTAGAAAAGGAATATCATGGAAAGAAACTTGTCTTTCTTTCCAGGACTGAGAATCCCAAGCCCTTATGCATTCAGAGAGTGAGAGCATCTCCTTAGTAGGCTGTAGTGCCCAAGGTGGGCCCAGCTGAGACTGTAAAGAGAAGCCATGTGTCTGAATATGTATAAATGCCAAAGCACTTTCTACAAGCTTGATCTTTTTTTCTCTCTCTCCAGCTAGATAAAAGCCCAGAAGGACAATTCACTCAGCTAATGGCATTACCCAAAACCTTACAGCAACAAATAAATCAAATTATGGACCCTCCTGGAAAAAACAGAGACGTAGAAGAAACTTTGTTCCAACTTGCTAATGATCCTGACTGTTCGGAGGTGGTGCGACTAGGTATGCGGATGAATTTGCTGGCGGTGGGCAAAGCATGTTTGTTCTTTCCTCCCTTGCAAGATCAAGAAATTTCCTCTAAGAGGAAAGCACTAACAATCCAGGGTTTTTCCACATCTAAATTTCCACTTGCTTGAAGTAGGGTGGTAGAAATACTTCTATTTTTAGATTTCTGGGCTCTGAATCACTGTCAAAAGGAAAAACGATGTTGCTTTTGGTTTCATGAGCATAACTTGTAGAAGCTACTATAAAGACATGTTCTTCATGGTGGTCTGAGAAGAAGACTGGGGACACTTTTAGCGTGTGTTTATAGCGTCCAGAGCCCTGCGTTCATGCATGGGTGCCAGTCCAATGTGTCTCATCCTGCACTCCCATCAGGTGCCTTCTGCCATGGCCCAAGCTCCACAGCCGGCTCCCCAGGGCCTCCCTCGGGTTTACCAAAATATCTGGAACTTCTCGTCAGAGACCCGCTTCCCTTTGAGGGTTCAAGGTGGTTTATGAGGTCAGTCAGTAAAGAAATTATTAGGAAATTAGAAATGGCTCTCTCTCCTGTTTTCACCCAGCAGTAATTTCTGAGCTCCTCCTCTAGGATACAAGCCATCGGGCTAAATGCAATTACAGTCATGGGTTTGAACATGAAAAGCCCAGCTGAAGAGGCACCCACCCCTCTTTCCATCTTCTGTCACAATAAGTATTTCAGTAGCCAGGCACCTATTCTGAAGATAAAGCTGTGTGAGCCAGGTTGTTGCCTATTTTTAGTTTTAACATGCTCCTGTGAAGAGTGTGGTGTCTGCTGCCTGTTTTGAGGAAACACTGAGGAATCCTGCGCTTTCAGAATGCACATGGATTTTATTTGTTTACAACCTGGAATTGAGAGCCAGCAGCCTTACACGCTCTTAAAGTCAGAAAGTAGCTTTGAGGGTGACCTCCCACTCTCAGTCCTGGTGCCCTTGTCACTGTCAGTGTGACACCAGGGCAGAGAGAGATTTGGAAAAGACATGGAGTTTCAGAGTTTAGACTGAGCATGACTAACGTATGGTTCTCTTTTCGTTTTCTTCTCGCAGGCCTGTCAGGAATCGTGAGAGCCTCCAGCGTGAAACAGAGCACCAAGGGCATTTTCACTGCTGGTAAGAACTCGAGAAAGGCCCTGCCTAATGTACCTGCTGCTTGCAGTGGCTCCACCATGCCTGGTTAAAATGTCCCACTTTATCTGCGCCCTCTAAGTACTTGTGGAAGGCTGAATTTTGATGGTCCTAAACTGGGATGCTGCAACCTAGGAGGCTGCTATTTGGTGCCTAGAAAGGCCAAACCAGTTAAGGTGCTGTACTCTTAGAAGACTTTGTTGTTGTTGATTCTGTTGAGTGGATTGCTCTCATGGTGACCCCACATGTGCAGAGTAAAATTGCTCGATAGGATTTTTCTTCTGAGGTGCACAAGCCTTTTTTCTGAGGGGTCTCTAGGTGGGTTTGAGCTGCCCCTTTCAGCTAGCAACCAAGCACTTAACCGTATGTGCCACTGAGGGACTTCGTCGCAAGTTTTTGTTTACTGCCCCCTACCATTTCTGAAGAAATCCTTGCATGCACTGGTTGTTTATTATTATTATTATTTTTATACTTCACAGTTACATGTTCACCTAGTTGCAAAAACAGCAGCATCTTACTCTCTTTCCCTTTTTTCCATCTCTTCAGAGGCAGTTGCTTAAAATCGAGCTCTCTTAGTGGATTATTTTAATGAACCTGCATTGCTGGATCTCTTGAACCGCAGGATGGTCTCCTTACTCAGCCGCTCGTAGTTAGGAATGCAGACACCACACTCACAGACGTGGGGCTTTTGGGGACGCTAGCAGGTTACAGTTCAGGGTCATAATGCTCAGGGCACAGGTCTTCAGTCAGGATAGCCTCTCATCTGCTGTGCCCACCCTCAGCCTGGCCTCTGCCCTGTTATAGCAATGTTACAGGGCTCTTTTAGGGCTGCTGATAAGTGCCCGCAGGGCATACCACTCCACCATAAACCTCACCTTGAGCTTTATGGGCTGTAGCTCCATAGGTCAGCAAATCTAGCTCCCCTAATTGAGCGCCTAGAGGCTCCCCACTGTGCAAGCAGGCCTCCTGCCCCAAGTCCCTCAGCTTTCTCTGCTCTGTGGGCTGGGAACACACCCCCACCCCCCACCCCCCGCTCGATCTCCTGCTCTGGTTCTTGGCTCTGCTGCTGCGGCTGCTCCTCTGCTGCCCCTGCAGTGTCACAACCTTCTGTTCCTGGGTGCAGGGATCTGCGGTGGGGGAGGGAAGAATCTCAGTGGTACAGTCCTCACCTCCCACGCAGCACACTGCAGCTTGAGTTCTGACCCCTGTGCCTCCTGTGCAGCCACCACCCCATCTGTCAGCAGTGCCTTCCATGTTTCTATGGTGATGAGCAAGTTTCAGCAGTGCTTATGGACGAGACCCAGCAGTCTACTTCAGAAAACCAGCCAAGGAGAAAACCTGATGGATCACAGTGGTTCCATCCACAGCAGACCACGGGGTCATGGAGGCTGTGCATCCACTTTCCATGCATCGGGTTGGCTGGACGACAGCCAACAATAGTGTGGTCTGTAGAGACCACGGAGTAAAGCTTTCCTCTCATGGACCATCTTCTTTACCTCCCTACTCTGTGGAATCCCATGTTTCCTGCTTCCTGGGTCTTGTGCTTCCTTGGGGTACACTCTCATTTAAGTGAAGCACACATCACCCATTCATTTCCTGAGAACAAGCACATGGGAGGTAAATTTGGAGATTGTGCACATCTGAAAATAGCTCTAGTCTAGTTGCAAGTATAAGGAGCCCTGGTAGCAGCATAGTGGATTATGAGCTGGGCTGCTAACCGCAAAGTCAGCAGTTCAAATCTACTAATGGCTCCATGGGAGAAAGAGGAGGCTTTCTGCTCCCATAACGATTTACAGCCTCAGAAACCCTATGCAGGGTCACTGATTGGAACTGACTCCATGGCACATAACCACCATCTTCACATATAATTGATATTTCTTCTTGTTGTTGTAAAGTGCAGTTGAGTCGATTCCGACCCATAGCGACCCTGTAAGGGTTTCCAAGGAGCAGCTGGTGAGCTTGAACCGCCAACCTTGCAGTTCAAACAGCTTTGCTGTTTGACGCATTAACCCACAGCGTCACACCAGGACTTCAACTTAGTTGGGTATAAATTAAGAATCATTTTCCTTTAGAATTCACTTCCAGGATCACTGTCAAAGTCCAAACCTTCCAGGTTCCTAATTCTTTGTGTATGTTCCTTCTTTCTGGAAGCTTATTAGGTCTTTTTTTACTCTGGCATGCTGAAGTTTTCATAGTGTACCTTAAGTCTCCTTCCTTCTATTGTACGGTACTGCACCAACCTCACAATTGTTGCTACATTTGAGCCCATTGCTGCCGCCACTGTGCCAGTCTATCTCATTGGACATCTTCTTTTTTGCTGACCCTCCACTTGCTGTCCTACTCCAGGGACTGATCCCTCCTGATAACTTGTCCAAAGTGGAGAGACGAAGTCTGGCCATCTTGGCTTCCAAGGAGCACTCTGTACTTTTCTCAACACAGGTTTGTTTGTTCTTTTGGCTGTCCATGGTAATTAAATATTCTCTTCCAACACCATAACTCAAATGCATCAGTTCTTCTACTGTCTTTATTTGTTTACTTCACATACATATGAGGTTATTAACTATACTATGCCTTGGGTCAGGCACACCGGGGTCCTCAAACTGACATCTTTGCTCTTCAACACTTTCAAAAGGTCTTATGCAGCAGATTGGCCAAATGTAATACATCATTTGATTTCCTGACTTTGACTGCTGATTCCATGAGTGTTAATTGTTAATCCAAGCAAAATGAAATGTTTGACAACTTCAGTCTTTTCTCCATTCATCGTGATGTTATTTATTGGTCCAGTGGTGAGGATTTTTGTTTTCTTTACATTGAGCTGCAACCCATACTAAAGGCTGTGGTCTTTGATCTTCATCAGTAAGTATTTTAAGTCTTCTTCACTTTTAGCAAGTAAGGTTATATCATCTACATATTGCAGGTTGTTAATGAGTGTTCCTCCAATCCTGATGCCACATTTTTGTTCATATAATCCAGATTCTCAAAATTATTTGTTCATTTTACAGATTGAATAAGTATGGTGAAAGAATACAACCTTGGTGCACACCTTTCCTGATTTTTTTTTTTAAGTTTTTATTGTGACTTGAGTGATAGTTTACATGGGAGAACACTGGTTTTACACTCATTGTTTCATTGCAATGAATTACTCTCTCCTCCATGCATCATCATTCAACAGTATTTGCTTTTATTCCCTCTGGTTTTTTTGGGACGGATGAGGGGGTATACACAGAAACACTCAGGAATATATAATCATTTCAACAACTAAATGACACATTCTACAAGCCTGCCTACTTGCTGCCAACCCACAGCCTTTCTCTTTCCATAATTCTAGAGTCCTCAACTGTTCCATGTCTCCATGCCTTCATTTCTGCCTCCATCTCTGTTGTTGCAGCTTCTCTGGATAGCGTCCCACATTCTGCTTGTGCTCTTGTTCTTTGATGGTTCCAGGGTCTTCTGTTCTTGGACTGTAAGATTAACTACTCCTCCCTTTTTGTTACAAAACCTCTACCTTTACAGTTGTGACAGTCACAATTAGTTATGATAGCAATTAGCCACTATTGAATCATAAAAATCTTATCCCCATCTCCTTTCATCAGACCTGTCTAGACAAAATGAAAACTATTCAGTGGGGAGTCTACCTTCCCCCACACATTCTGAAACTAAACTCCCTCTTGAAAACTTGTGAGCCAGTCACTTCATGCCTTTATAGCCCCCTCCTTTTAGGTAGCCAATGTCTATCTACCCTGTCCCTATCTATCTTTCTCCCGCAGAACAGCTGGTAGTTTTGAACTGCTGACC